GTAGGTGCGATATTACACAGTGTAATCCATTTTGCATTTTTAATTTCCATTGTACCACCATTTACGATCAGGTCTTTATTTCGACGGCCGCAATCCACATTAGTGTATGGGGATACTTACCCACTTGGTACCACGACAGTGTTAACGGATTTCGGGTTTGTCCGGCACAAAGATTGTACGATTTAATTTCAAAATTTTGTCTGCCGCATGGTATATACGTATTAAGCATAATAACATATACGAGCTTTGTTTCGTTATCTGCGCACCGTTTTTTTACCGATCGTGTATTATTTGTTTTTTAACATGATCTATTCGTTCTAGTTTTTTATATACCTCTATGCGTAGGACGTTGATTATAATACTTACACGAAATACCGATACAGTTCCAACGCGTCTATAGGCTATGGCCTATACCTAGTGGTTTTCGATACATTACAGATAATATTTAATTATACACGTCGGAAACAAGAGTTTACCGGGAAACACCAATGCGAACTTTCGGCCCTACCGTTATCGTTAACAATCATTTCAGTAACATTGAATACATTAAATACTAAACATTTCGTCCTCCGAACTGCTGGGTTACAAAAGTGTTCTGATATGATCTCATTTCGGATTACGTTTAATGGATATAGTATGTTTTTACCTATAGAATAATTTCAATACATTATGATGATGCAAAAATACACATCTTTAATACAAGTAGGTAATTGCACTGTTTATCATAAACGATTATTTAGCTCTGGTATTGTTGATAAAACTTAAACACATTGCAATGTTTCAATATCCAGCTATAATGAAACTTAACAATGAATATCATTTCATTACACTCAAACATACTGCAATGTATACAAACTTATTTTTGGATGAATGTATAACTGTGTATTGTGAATTACCGGGACTCTTTAAACCTTAACCCTTACAGTTCCATTCATTAACCGACCCCAAATACCATGTCTATATATAGAAAGTATATTAATATATGACAACTCTTGACTTTTCTCATCATCTTACGCCCGTCGTCGTTCTTCATAAACGTTTTATTCCTTTGAGTACTGCCCGAATATTTGTGTTTAATTATAGATCTGATCGAATTAAAAAAACATTATTAAAATTGATGTTTTATATTTTTGATATTGGTGTCAAAGATTAAAATATATCCAATCATAAATTATTATTTTTATTCATAAGCTCTATAAATAATAAGTTATAAGTTATATATTGGATATAAGCTCTACCTGTTTAATTAATAAGTTCTAATATATTTGAAATGAATATACATCCCTTAATGGTAAGTTAAAAACTATAAGAATTGTTTATATTAAGCCGATTAGTTCCCATATTGTATGATAAATTTCGAAATATTTATTAACAGGGTTTGGAAGTTTTAGCGAATCCATATTATTCTTGGTTCATCCTAGAATATCCAAAGTAAGATACAAATATGTTTTACGTTACAAAGATATCATACACAAAATTTAATTTTGCTATTTTTTGCATATTTACGGGTTTTACGTATTGCTATTTTGTTAATTTAGGGTTTATAGTGCTATTTTCGGGTATATAGGAGTACATTTTTACAAATATATTTAATTAATTTAAAATTGTTGTTAACAGTTTATAATTCAACCAGTCCAAACGTCTATGAGCCCAAACATTTGTAAAATTACATTTAATTTTTTTTCTAATAAATTTTTAATTTTTTTCAAGTTAAATGCATATTTAAGAGCTAAAAAGTAATATTTTCAGTGCTACAACTTCTGATCCCTGTTTATTAATTATTTGTTTAGAAAATTTAAGACTCATGTATTTTCATTTAAATAATAAATCGCATAAAGTATACTTATAAGTTTCATATTTTAAAATATATGTATAAAATAATATTTTAACTGTTACGATTGTGTATGTATAGATTAATAAAATTATAGGTTGAAAAAATAAAAACCTATGTACCTATTTACCATATTTACCCCATAGTCCATTTACAACATAGGGTAAGAAAAACCAATTGTTTTGAATTTGAAAAAAAAAGTGTAAATCGTATAAAAATTTAATCATTTCCAATTACTACATTACTGATGTTTACGTAATATAATTTTCCTGTAAACTTTTAGATCAAAGATGAAAAAATAATTTTTTTATTCTTATGCATCAGTAAATATTTAAGGTAAACGTGAAAGTAAAAACTCGACAGTAATCGTTAGAAGTTCGTTTGTAATGATTATATACCACCAGAAAGTGTAACAAACCATAAACGTGAGTCGAAAATTAACGACCTAACGAAAGTAAATTTGTCAAGAAGTCAGAACTTTTTGATATGTGAATTTACAATAATTAACCTCAAAAGCAACTGCGTACAATTATAACAATTAGCCTTTTTGGGATAAAGATTATAAATACAAATTATTCACATAAACAAATTTAAAATGTAAATAATTTTACCTTTTGTCATTTAAAATAATAACAAAAATAAAGTTCATATATTTAAAATTTCTATACATTCTTACATATACGCTAACATAATTGTGTGTGTTTTTTGATCTGTATTTTCAATTTCTGTAAAATTTGACTAAATAATATCTACGAATGGGTTGTAGCAAATTTAGATATTAAAAACTCAACGAAATATTGTATCCCTCAAAATAAATAAGTTTGACAATTTTCTTTGCTTTATAAAAATAATAAAATAATTAATAATTCAACATTGTTTATATTATTATAATATTGTCTAGTGTGGTATTATATTTATTGTCAAATAATATCTTGACAAATATTTATTCGCCGATATTAAATATTGAAGAGAAATTAAAACGTTCTAAAAATGAGCATTCAGTTAAAACATTGAAATTATAATTATACCAACCGCAAGAGTTTGAAATAATATAAATAATATTTTAAATACAGAATCTCTAAATTGAATCGATCATTTCGAAAAGGCCATTTCTTCACACATTTTCAAAACTAGTTTTATATGATATATGTTTTTAACCAATAATAATGCATATTTCCTGTAATACCGCCATATCATAGTTGGTTTTATTTAAGGGAATTATATAATTTAACAATTTTTCAATTTTTATCTAAATTTAATTTTGATCTCTAAAAACAGTTTCTTATGTTTCCTGACAATTTTTATTTTATGGAGATATGGCCTTTTCGAAATGATCGATTCAATTACGAGGTCTGTTCAAAAAGTTCCCGAACTATCGTTTCTAAAAATAGAAAAATTACATTATTGTAAATGTTATTATATCAAAATAAAATACAGATAAGCAGCTATCTTTTCCATTAAATCTCAAATGTTTATTGCTATCGAATCATTAACTGTGCGCGTTCAAAGTAGACGAGTCGTGTGTATTGTGCGATTTTTAAGATGAGTAATTTTCACGAACAACGTATTAATATTAAATTTTGTGTTAAACTTTGTAAATCTTTTACTGAGACTCACAAAATGTTGCAAAATGCTTATGGTGATCAGTGTTTAGGACGTACACAGTGTTACGACTGGTTTAAACGCTTTAAAGACGGTCGGGAATCAGTTGATGACGACCCACGTTCAGGACGTCCGTCGACATCGACAGACGATGCTCATGTGACAAAAGTCAATGAAATTGTGCGGTCTAATAGACGTTTAACTATTCGAGAAATCGCGGAAGATTGTAACATATCGGTTGGTTCATGTCATGAAATCCTGGTCGAAAAACTTGGAATGCACCGCGTTGCAGCAAAATTTGTCCCTCGGTTGATGTCGCAAGATCAAAAAGACAACCGCGTAACAATCTGTCAAGAATTGTTAGATCGCGCTAACGATGATGACATGTTCATGAAGCAAATTATAACGGGTGATGAGATATGGGTCTATGGCTATGATGTTGAGACAAAAGTCCAATCATCACAGTGGGTTGGTAAATTTTCTCCAAGACCAAAAAAAGCTCGTCAGGTCAGATCAAACGTCAAAGTTATGCTAACAGTTTTTTTCGACAATCTGGGAGTTATTCATCACGAATTTCTACCTGCAGGACAAACTGTTAACCGATGGTACTATCTAGAAGTATTAAAACGTCTTCGAGAAAAAGTGCGGAGGAAAAGGCCTGAAGTGTGGAAAAAAACTCATGGTTTCTTCATCACGACAATGCTCCGGCGCACACTTCCCTGTTAATTCGTGATTTTTGCGTGAAAAATCACATGACCGTACTTCCTCATCCACCATATTCTCCCGATTTGGCACCAGCAGACTTTTTTTTATTTCCAAAATTAAAATATCCGTTAAAAGGACAAAGATTTTCTACGATAGACGAAATAAAAGAAAATTCGCTAACGGAGTTACGAGCAATTCCAGAAACCGCTTTCCAGGATTGCTTTCAACAATGGAAACGTCGTTGGCAAAAGTGTATTAACCAAGAGGGAGAATACTTCGAGGGTGATAAGTCTCAATAGCTTGTAAGTAAGCACCATAAATAAAAAATTGAAAAATTCGGGAACTTTTTGAACAGACCTCGTATATTTTCTTTTAAATACTAGCATATCTTGAATACTCATATAATACGATTTAAATTTGCTGATGCTATATTTTTATTTTTACTTCGAGAATTATATAAGTGCTTATTAACACTTTTTACCTTTTATCTATTCTTTCTTCTTCAAAAATTTAAAATATTGCCTTACCGTAAAATTGTTCCTCTTCGCCCGCACGTAAATATGCCACTGATTATTAGGGGTGTTTTTGTTTTTATTTCAAAAACAAAAACCTTTTTGTACCACTACGCAGCTTTTGTTACGTTGTTTTGAATATGTAGATAATAAAAATAATAAACATTAATTTGTTTTCGCTTATATGTGATTAGTGTTATGGTCATTATTATACTGATAATACAATTTTATTATTATGCAGTACATGGGTAGGTACACCGTACACACAACTATCTATGTTACCGACGTTACCTTTGCAAATAAATAATGTGTACAATGAACGTGCTAATAATATTTTGTTATGATTGCAGCTTGTAATTGCAACGAGCACGCAAAACGATGTCGATTCGATATGGAGCTATATAAACTGTCTGGTCGAGTGAGCGGTGGCGTATGCCTCAAATGCAGACACTTCACGGCTGGTAGATACTGTCATTACTGCAAGGAGGGATACTACAGGGATCCTACTAAGCCCATGACACACCGAAAAGCTTGTAAAGGTAGATAATTATTTTTACTTCTTGTAACAATGACAATGACGATGATAAAAGATTAATGTTACAGTTGTAAGCAATCCAGTTGCTCGTTTGATATCAAGTGAAATTCGAAAGCAAAACATAATTTTATACAAATTACGCTTAGGTTGAAAAAAAAAATTACCCATATAATTATTAAGTTTAACAGTTTTTTTTTTTCCAAATTTTTCTTGAGTTAATTAAAATTGAATATAAAAGTTAATTTGTGAACACATTTAGTGAAAACGTTTTAACGTTTTAACAGAGTTATAAAGAAAATCAAGTAAAGTGAGAGCAAATTTTTTTATGGATTAGATGGTTTTATTTGATCTACCCTGGTAATATATTAATGATCAGACATTATCTGATCTTGTACATGTCGTATTATAACATACCCGCGTATAGCATGTGCACACTCGTTAACAAACATGCATAAATATTTTTTTTTATTTTTTTTTTATATGCAATGTAAGTTTTAATTTCTTCTCGACTTCACTTACCTGTATTTAGAAATGCCTGGAATTGTAAAATATATTCCGTTCATTATTTTAGTTATTTTTTTAATATAGAATTCAAAGAAATTAATTACTTAAGAAATATATAAAAAGTCCAGCACAATATGATATGCGTATTAATGGCTTTAAGATAAAGTTATATATTGATCGATAAACATATATAATAATATATAATTGATGATTCCATTATTAATATCATTTCTCATTGAAAATGATTAATATATTATATTGCATGATCGGTTTTTTAATTAAATATATATATTTTTTGCGCGTTGCCTTTATTTGCAATATGTTTTTAACACGAACGTCGGTGAGATTTTGTGTTCGAGTTGGTTCATCCAACACCCTATTATGAGTTGGCAGAACAGTTTATTTATGCAGACATCTCTTGTGACTTTAAATAAAAAAAAAAAATAATATAATATAATATTAATAATAAAGAATGGAAAATTGAAAAATCGTGAGGATTTAAAGATACGGGGCATATAATATGATGGCATGAAGAGCGATCCTCGCATATGATTCACGAACACGGGTGAAACGCTATCAATAAACCGGCCATGTTATTCGGGTGAAAAACAGTCGGGGGGTTGCATTATTGCCTAAACGTGACTTATAGCGTGAGATTAAGAGGCTAAAGTCTGACTACAACGATAAAGGATCAAAGTAATCGAATGACATACAAAAAAAAAAAAAAACGGGCAATAAACGAGACAATTAAAACTGTGTTTTGCATACGAATTAAAAATAATATTACATTGGTATTACATCATATTGATATTTATAATGACCAACATAAGCACGTGATGTTTGCATTTTTTCGACGTTCATAAATGTATGACCTATGTATTTATTTATTTTATACTATGTGCAATTTATAACATTCATTATAATTACAATACGGTTAAGTCTAACTGGCTCAAATATTAGACCTAATAATTTTTTAATTTAGTAAAAAATGAACCAAAATGTAATATAGTTTAAAACAACTAGACCCATTTTTGCACTAGTTTATTATTTTCTATAAATCTATAAATGTTAAAATATATTGAACACGAGTAAATACTTACAAAAAGAAGAATATTACTATTTATTTGCTTGCAAATTAATCGTTAATAATCTTAGAACGTGATCTTGGGACGTGTTTCTAAAATTTAAATTTAAATACATTATTAGAAGAAACAATTTATTGGATTATATAGTATATATTTGAAAATGCAACGATAAATATAAGTGTAGACATCGTAATTAGCATATAAAGTATAAATGCGTAATTTATTCTATTTTATATTTAAAACGCCTCTTATAATAATTTTTGCGCCAAGAAACTAAAATTTAATTACGCTTTTTAATTCATTTTTATTCATATATTTTCTTGTATATTTTACAAATTAATCCAAAACATTTAAAAAATTAAACTAAGGTTAAATAAAACAAAAATAATTTTAGTTTTATTTCATCTATGTAATAAAATAATGATTAGTAAAATATACTGTATATTTTTAAAAATAGTATTAAATTATTCTATGTTAATATTTTAACCTATAAAGTTGCATCACTAAAATATGTAATTGGCTTTAATTCATCCATAATAACAAAGTTTTGAAAGCATAATGGCAGAAGACTTCTTGAAGTTTGATTATTAATAATATATTACCGTATCCCCTTCTTAGCCTTTAACATTTTAAACCTCTGAGGTGAGTCGGTGAGTCTTTCCGTAATTAAACACGGATTATTTGATTAAAATTTAAATTAAGAGCTTTGAGCTGATAATTAATTTTGTTTTCTAATATATTCCCCTGTTAATCAAATTTAATAAAATATCATATTATACCTCATAATTCTGTAAACCGCGTTTAGTATATAGTTTATACTATTACTAATTTTTAAATTTGCATGTAATATTTTATTAATATTTTTATTTAAATAACCCGAAAAACCATTTTACAATTTAAATTTGTATTATATTTTTTAATGTTATTTTGCATTGAATAATTTTATGTATATTTCTAAAATATAAATATTTTGTGCGTTTTTTTTCTTTTTTTAAAATCTATAAAATATTATAAAACGTTAGCTCGTTCAAATCAATATTTAATATAAACTTGTTTTACTTTGTTCACACTCAAACAAGGTATACATATTCTAAATATGACAAAAACCAATATATAACCACTATTTTAAAAGTTATAGAATTATAATTATTAACCAAAAAAAACCTATTTATTCTGAAATATTTCTACACTATTCAATTTTATTATATCTAATAATAAATGCAACACAATATCTAAAAATACTGATTTCAATACAATATAAATAAGATATATTTTAAGAGTATTTATTGAATTTGAAAATCTACTAAGAAACGACATGATATGACTGAATCGTCTTTCTCAGTTTATCCTTTCAACTAAACATTTACTTTTTCCGCAAACAGGAAAATTCGGTTTTACTCCGGAAGTTAAGACTTATCCGTTTGTTACAAAACGGATATTGCGTAACAAAAACAAACGAAATGTCAATCGCCGTGTGTCTTCAACGTAAAATAAACGTATTTCTGGGTCCTCTGGAGAATTCAAACATCTCGACAAATCCTTTCGCTGTACGAATGCGCAGTTTTTGGAATCCGAAGCGATTTATTTCGACCGGATGTATCCGGCTGTGCAGGAGTGAGAGACCAAACTGGACGATATTTACCGTGTCCCGGGGCAAAGGTTAGACAAATTGATCCGTTTCCAGTAAAAACGGATTACCACCCCCTACTCCATCACTACCGCACAACACTACTTTCTCTCCGATCCCTATATATGGCCACCGGCGCTATGTACCCTGTGTATACGGGCTTCTTTATCTCGAGGGGGGTCCCGGCCATTGGGCCAGTCAAAATTGCCTTCCTCCCGTCCTTTTTTCTCAACACACGGTTACATGTGATATATACAATCGTTATACTATTGATTTGAGGGGGCTTGCGACTCTGATGGATGTGTGCAAGACCTGGGTGACTAATGGACTTCTACGCGGAAACAGCTATAATACTAGGTGCTTAAAAAGGAAAGGGATATAATATATATCGCTGCCCTCTGGCTTGTTTTTTTTTTCGAGTGGTCCACTCATCCACAAGCACCGGTAAACCTATATGTAGGACCTATATAAATAATAAGTATTCCCAACATAAAAAAATGCATTTATATATGTATTTATTTTATTTATTTTTGAAATATAAATCAAATTTTAATAAAAAATATTTTTACCGTTGAATAACTAAATATTACTTTTTAGTGTATTCTAATAATGTTAATTATTGGAATACCTACGTAAAGCATATTTTATTTATGGAAATCATTACAATATTATATATCAGAGGTGGCCAAACCGCGGCTCGCGTCATAGACTTTTGCGGCTCGCATCTTATCGCAACATTTAAAAAAAAAAATTTTAATATGAATTTATGTATTTGAAAAAGTATAATATTTTATTAAATTTAATTTAATTATTAAATTACAGTGTATAGAAAAAAATTTGTAAAAATAAAGTATTCTTGATATCATGTTTCTTAATTGACTATTTTCTTATTTGTTGCGTGTTTATTTTGCTTGTAAGCTTTTTTTAAAATCAGGACTATATGTTGTTAACGCTAGGACTATAAGTCCTTAACAATTCAGTTAAATGATCATCCGTTAATGTTGATCGATGTTTAGATTTAATCATTTTCATGGTTGAGTATAAAGACTCGCAAGAATATGTTGTTCCAAAAATCGATATTAACTTTTGAGCGCAAAGAGTAATTTTTGGATATTTAATAACAGGCACATGTTTCCAAAATTCCAACAAAGAATGACAACTGTATTTGAACTGCTTCAGTCCTTCATCTTCCAATAATTCCAAGAGTTCAATTTCTAAAGCTGCCGTATCCATTGAAATTGATTTTAATATTGGACATCCATTTTCAATAACGTTAATTACAAAGGGATTTTCTAGGAATGCAATCGAAGGTTTAAGTAATTTCAAGTCTTTAAATCGATCTTCAAAGTGAGTTGATAAACACTCTAATTTTTGTACATAATCTTCACAATTCAATTTTGTTGCTATTCCAACCAAATAATCCTCAATTTTTTTTAAATACGGAAAATGGTTTAAATTATTTGTTCTTAAGTCTCTTTGAAAAAGTTTAAGCTTATTTTGGAAACTAAAAATGTCTTGTACTAGGTTATTTATAAATTTATTTTTACCTTGAAGAGACATATTTAATGTGACTAAGTGATGCACAACGTCAGTACAAAATGACATATCTCTTAACCATTGTGGGTCTGAAAGTTGTGGAAAATTTTTATCTTTTTCTTTTAAAAATGTTTTAATGGGTTCTAATAAATCGAAAAATTTTATTAAAACGTTATTTACCGATAACCATCGAACTAAACAATTCCACGGAACATCATTTGGAATATCATCCTCTAAACTTTCAACAAAGTT